CACCATATAGCAGGACTACGATATCACAGGGAGAAGGTCAGACGATGCAGTGGAAGCATGGAACCTCTGCTAGCACAGCCATAGAGACGTTCAGCACTTTTAGCTAGCTATACACACATAAAACAATAAACAATAATCAGTAAAAGGTAAATATCACAAGGCTGAGATTAATAGTAATAATAAGGTGACAGTACACGTTATTTATTACTATAAATCCCAGCCTTCAGTTATTTTTTGTTTACAAGGCTAAGTACGGGTTCATTGTGATGAGCTGAAACGTAGGAAATCCCGTGAAATGTAATATCTTTGATAACCACTGAACCAGCAGGAGGCGTAGTGGTTAGGGAGGAAATGCAACATTACGGGATGCGGCTTCAAGGAAAGCGATTCGCTTGTTGTACCCTTGAGAAAATTAAGGCTTTAGTAAGGCACTTAACCTGAATTGTCCTTGTGAAATACACAGCTGCGTCAAAGGGAAAAAAATGACTCTTTAATATCAGCTAGGGAAGAAAAATCCAAGCATTTTAGCAAAATGCCTTATACTGCATCAAGTGGCAGTGCATTGATACTGACCTGGATGTTGCACTGAAAAACTCCTGGCGCTGTTGTTGCTTCAATAAGGAACAGTAAGTAGCCAGACCGGGTCCAGTCCATAACCACATCTACTCATCGTTAGCCCAAGGACGCCTCTGTGGAGCCTGTCCCTCTGCAGTCCAGAAGAGCTTAATGGCCCAGAGAAGATTAAGTCACCACTTAAGGATGAGGACAGGTTTTTGGTCAAGCCCCCAAGCGGATTCCTGCTGCAGTAGTGCTTAACCTGAATCACTCCGGCCATATAAAAATGATATTTATCCATTAGAATGAGGTTGTCATGGTGTAGTTCAGAGGGTTAGGGATGTGTCCGGAAGGTTGTGAGTTCAACTCCTCATTGCTGGCAGAATAATTATATCACCGTTCGGCCCTCGAGCAGGTCGCTCATCCCTAACAACCCTGGAGACACAGTCTGAGTGCAAGAATTCATCACATATATGTTTCTTTGGACAGAAGAATCTGATAAATATATATGTCCAGAGAGTCATGTTGGATGAATGTTGATTAGCTGGCGTTTCTTTCTCAGCAGGATGATCAGCAGATTCCTGCCTTTATAGGTTATGGTCAGCATTGGTGCTCTGACCTGATCTCCCTCCAAATGAAGAGTCTCCTCTTATCTCCGCAAAGTTCGGCACATTGATTCCTTCTGTGACTTAATCATGTTTTTCACAAACCGTGAAACTACAATGACAAGGAGTAATTTATATTATTACCGAACCTAAAAGCTTTTCCTTTCCTTCATAAAAGCCCTGTAAACCACTTATGCAATTTTCTGTTATTTCAGAAAATCCTCAGAGACCGGCTGTGGGATTTGGCTGTTATTGTTATGCGAGGGCAGAACGGCAAGAACATCCACTCACTCAACTGTAGGGGGCCTGTAGAGGTGGGGGGGGGGCACTTGGGGTCATTTATATCTCAGGCTCCGTGTGAAAAGGAGGCGCCGCGCGAAAGGGAGGCTCCGCGTGAAAGGGAGGCTCCGTGCGAAAAGGAGGCTCTGCGTGAAAGGGAGGCTCTGCGCGAAAAGGAGGCTCTGTGTGAAAGGGAGGCTCCGTGCGAAAGGGAGGCGGCGCGTGAAAGGGAAGCTCCGTGCGAAAGGGAGGTGGCGCGTGAAAGGGAGGCTCCTTGCGAAAAGGAGGCTCCGTGCAAAAGGGAGGTGGCGCGTGAAAGGGAGGCTCCGCGTGAAAGGGAGGCGCCCGACGGTATGCAGGTATTTCTAGCGTGACATTTCGGCAGCGGGGAGCTGGTGTCTATGAAAGCTGGTAATTGGCGGCCGGTTATTTGTGTCACAACACCGCTAAGAAGCACAGTGATTAGTGTCTTTGCTAATGGCCGGGGGCACAGAGGATTGCAGCCGTGACTGATTTGGGCTTTTAAGAGCATTTCTGTGTGATGCATTGATCTACCCACTGGGCGAATGAACTAAAGACGACGCCTCGATTCCTCAGAGACACACAGAGGGACACAGAGTCTGCAGATCCTCACCTCGCCAGCCTGTGCTTCCAGCTCCTCCAGCACCCTGCTGCCGGTCATAATTAGGTCCTCAGCTCCCCCCCCCTTGTTAACAGGTTGTCCATCGCCATGCGGGTGCCACCAGTGAGGCATGGGCACAAAATGAGCGCTACAGCAGGTGCCATGTCGATTTAAGAGCACAGGAAGCTCTTTCAGTCACTGGAGGGGACAAGCTGATGAACCTTTGAAGGCAGAAATTGTACCGCGATCGTGCTTGTGTCACCCAATGCAGATATGGGTGGCGGGGGGACAATAATTTGCATAAAAGCATTTATATATTTATATAGTGAATGGTTATTGAAAACAGAAGTGAAAAAATCAGGTCCAGAAAGTACATATCCAGACCAAGATTTTGTTTTAGCCAAGCAGTGGAGTATAATGAGTCTTTTTGTCAGAATACTCAACAGATTGGTTGAAACAAAATTTTGGTCTGGATTTTTACTTTCCGGACCTGAACATTCCACTTATGATTGAAAATAATAAGTGCATTTAGACAAGAAAGAGGATACAGTCAGTGCATAAACACTCACCTTAAGGACAGAGACACAAAACACAGTCCAAGGGAAGTACGGCAGGAAGGAGCAGCGTAAATTACACCAAAACAGAGTATAAACATGCAGGCAGAAACTCGGAGCACTGCCGAAATTCCAGTAGGGCTGCGTTTGCCAAATGCATAGCTGCAAACAGCGCAGCCGCTCACATAGTTGGAACCATGCAACTGAACGGTTCCAATTATGTAAGGTTCTAACGGCAGCTTTTGGTAAACATACCCCAGATTAGACTGATGCGTCTCATCTCTCCAAGCTGCGATCCTGGGCTTTTGACTGACTCAGGAGTAGCCGCCCATCTTTCAAATCGCCCATCTTTGAGCCTAGGAGCCAATAAGAGCGGCCAGCGTCACGGCGTAAGCCTCACGAGCGATTTCAGCCGTGCAAAACCGGTCACTGGCAAATGGGCAGAATCTGCCAACATCCCACAGTCAAACGTCAAAAGCAGAGAGCCGTGAATCCAGGTATTGTTACAAAATTAAGACAAGCCGGTTTTTGGATGGCATCATTCAGTCTGCGGTGTCGCCCATTTGCATAGCTGGCATCCTTCAGCTGGTACTGAGGTTGCCCGTGAGAATTGGATCAGGCGAGACAGCGTCCTGCAGAGCTGCCGCCTTCCCCTCAGTGGGCTTATCAAAGCAAATGTTGCCTCCCTGTGTCACCTGCTGTGGAAACAGCCATCGTTGGCCACGGGTGACAGCAAGCAGGCAGGAGACGGGTAGTGAAGCACGACTGTGGCAAACAGGACTGTCATGCTGTCACGTGTGGGTATGTCTTTGTCATGTGCGGGGAATTCTATCCCAAAGCTGTTCTCCTTGTAGACCCTCCCATGTAGACCCTCTCCTCTCAGGACATCCCTAAACTTTGTGGTCCTTTCACACTCCTCTCCCTCTCTAGTCTGTCTCTGTCTTACATTCTAACTCTCCTAATCATGGCGTATTATGCCGCTGAATAAGCAACCATAATGCTGCAAATCAGAAATGTGAGAGGATTATGGGAAAATAGAACATTTGGTGGTTCGGATATGGCACAGCCAGACCACCTGCAGCTCAGGATAGGAAATCCGTCTGAGGCTAAGCAGGTCTGGGCCTGGTCTTTACTTGATAGGTAAGCTGGGTTGCTGCTGGCAGAGGTGTTGGTGTGGTCTACAGGTTAACCCACGTTGTGGTCTGTATGGATCCCAGTGCAGTGACCGGGACACTGTGCTATAAAAATGGTGCCATCCTTCGGATGAGACGTAAAACCGAGGTCCTGCCTCTCTGAGCTCATAAAAAAATCCTGGGCATCTTTTGAAACAGGAGGGGTGATAGCCCGATGTCCTGGCTAAAATTGCCCATTGTAGCCCTTTCAAATCTGGTCTCCTAATCATCCCCTATATCTAACTGGTGAATTCTCTCCTGGCATGGAATGGCTGCCGTCACATCATCCAGGTGGGGGCAACACAGGGGTGGTGGTTGAAGTGGCCCCCCATTGCTTCTGTAAAGTGCTTTGGGTGTCTTGTAAAGCGCTATATAAATGTGACGTTCATTCATTCACGGAAGAAAGGTATGCCAGAATGCACATACATTTTGTTTCAGTTCAATCAAGCCCTAGGATCATTTTAACTTTCTTTCTTACCACAATTTTGCCCTGGGCTCAATAAAGTAAATCTTAATCTCAATCTTACCACCCTGCCCAGGAAGAGCGGGTACTCTCCGTCAGCTGCCAGTGCTGACGGAGACACATGGCAACTCCAGGGTCCAAATGATTTTTTTTAGGGTTATGCATATACAGGGGTGCCACTAGAGATTTTGAACCCCATGAAAGCATATCATATTGGGTCCCCAGCCCAGACCAATCCAGGTATGTTCCAATGTTTTTAGAATCCTCATAACTTACCTCCTTTCGGCGCTCCTGTGTATTTACGTAAACCCCTTTCCCTGCACCGAGTTTAGACGATCCGTCGGAACTGTTTTTCTTCAGACCGCCAGCAGGTGGCGCTTTTATTTCATTTCACCGCATATTCCCCTTGCAGAATCGCATTTTCAGGACACATAACCGAAGTATTTTCGCGAAGGCAAAACATACCCAACAGGCAACAAGTGCAAACAACGGCAGAGGGTTCTTATGAAAAATAAGTTTTTTTTTCCTTCCTGTTCTACAATTTAAGCTGAATCATGCAGTTTTATTGATGGATTAAAAGTGCCTTTTATCGACACTGGATTGCTGTCTGTGTTCATTTCCTCTCCGATGTATTTCTTCCTTTCTTACTCTACCTGCAAAAAGCCCTTACAGCCTCCCTTTTAAAAACGCCCCAGCTGAATCACAACAGCACAACCCATAACAAAGGACAGGCACACATTGTTGCATAGCAACAGTGATTTTTTTTTAATTATTATTATTGTCTTCTGTACAAAATCATACACACATTCAAAGGCGAAGCAGTCAGTGACGGCCAGTCAACTAGACACACAGGAAATAACAACGGTTATCAGGAGTCATTGAGACACACGGCATGCGAGAATAGACAGAGTGACCTACAGGGGCCAGAAACTACAGTCATCTAGTGTAACGCTTCCAAACCCGGCCCTCGGGAACCCACGGACAGTCCAGGTTTTAGTTCCCTCCCAGACAGTCCACATTTTTAAAAAAACGTGAACCGCCTGGGAGTTCCTGAGGACCGGGTTGGGAAACACTGATCTAGTGCAAGGAAGTCTTCGGTGAAAGATCTCCCTTCCCCTCCAGAAGAACAGAAGTCACCAGAATGACATCCCATGACACAATAACTATGAAATGGTGCATGTCACCGAAGACCCCCCCCCACCCCTATTACTGGAAGCCCAACACCTCTAATACCAACAAGACACCCCCCCAAATTGCCACTACCCCGTACTAGGTTTAAGTGCTTTGGAAAATAAGCAAGAAATGGGCCGACTGGTCCATGTTCTCGGGTTTCTCAGGTTTCTAAACTCCGGTTCCACACTATGGAACCTGAACCCCTCTAATAAAGACGGGAGTGGAGCGGAATACTAACCTACCGAGGGTCAAGCAGCACATGTGGTCATGTAGAGAAATGAGAAACGCCTCACCCTGCCTTTGGCCCTCAATGTGCCATGGAAGACTTTTCACTAATTTCTGGTAGAAAGCTGCTGGTTTAGTGCCCAACTCCTACTTCGAAGCCTCACTGCCTTCCACTCCTGGAGATTCCATTCTCAACCTTATCCGCTATCACGTAACATCCCCAAATATGTCCCATCAGGTGTCAGTCACAGCTCAGGTATAATTCACATTCTCATGTCAGTCTCGGGCCCTAGGACTGTGTCTCTGGTAATCCAGTTATGCTGTGCAAATGCTGCGAGGACGTTTCGGAACGATCGGAGCCATCTAATATGTTACTCCTGCTGGCCTGATCTTCCTACGTTTATACCTGGGGAAGCTGAAGAATAGCAACATTGTGTATCCCAAACTGTTGATTTCAATGGTTTTGGTTGTCATAGAAACAGAATGAATAGAATGGTTAGCAACGCTGAAAGAATTGTGTGCTGGGTGGGCAGCTACATTGCAATGATACTAATCTTTGTTATTTTTATGATAAAACTTATTTTGTTACTCATGATAAAACGTAATGATTAGAATATTAGACATCTCATTGTTTTTATATCTAGATTACTGTGTTTATTTCATTATATCAATGAAAATGAAAGTAATTTCTTGTTATTTCAATTGTTTATCTGTGGGCGGCCACACAAGAAGTATTTTCTTACAAATACAGCTTGAGCCATTGTTCTTATGAAGGAAGGTTAGGTTGTTTGCATAATGAACTCACTTGTCAACATGAAATCATTGAAAGAAAATCTGATCACTGTCAGGACTGGTGAGAAACGTATGGATCCAAAACATGTCAGCAAATAATAAGGAGAGTCCTGGGAAGACAACAAAGTCAGTCGCTTATGGCTGCGGCTGACGGAGTCCATCAGAAAAGGTCCTACAGGGAACTGCCCCTCTCGTGGATGATCATTTCTGCCAAGCTGTGAGCAGCCAATCGGAAAGCGATTCATCAGTCGCGTTAGGAGACGGCGGGTATCTCGGCAGCTCAGCGGGCTGGCGATGTGTCTGCAGAGCTCGGAAGTGTCTGTTTCACACGTCCATATTTCACTGACGCCCAATGGCTGCGGCTTCTCCCGCCACCGGCTGGTGCGACCGTCCGGCGTAAGACACTGTCGATCGGCGTCGCCTTTTTTCGGGGACACCCTGCGAGAGTGCGTGCTTAAAATAAACCGTGTTACAGCCAAATGCTGGGCTGAGCTGTGGACCAAAGGCATCGGCCATGGACATGTAGACAGAGAACTTCTCCTACCATAGAAGTGAGGAATGTGATGCAGATTATGGGCCGCTAGCTGTATCCCGTCATATATAAGCGGTCGCAAAAGGCTGTGTGGTATAGCTCAAATACATCAATTAACCTCCATTCATTTCTCAAATGAACAAAGGCTGTAAGACAATTCAATTATTCAATGAATACTTTTCTAATTTATATAGCGTCCTTCAAGATCACTTTTCCCCCCTCCCTTCCGTTGGATATTTTAACGTGTCTGGCTCTGAAACATTCTCTGACGAGCCGGCAGCTTTCTTTTCACCGTACGGGTCCCTTGGTCCCATTTGGGAAAGCTGGAAGTGCCAAGGAAAGGGGCAACTTCCATTGGCGTTCAGCAAAATGGCCGCCGTTGACGCCTATCACCCAACTCCAAGCTCAAAATAAAATCCAGAGCTCTCCTCAACGCCATCTTTGATCTAGGCACCACAAAAACCCTGCCTGCTCATAAGTGACCATAAGACACTGAATGGGACATTGGTAATTTTAGCTTCAGTGCTAACTGAGACCTACAGCATGTATAGGAACACATGGGGAACACAGTCTTCAGTAAGTAAAAGCCCCGCCAGGGAAATGCGGCCTGTGTGGAAAAGCAGCACCAACAACGCACACCCTAAAATTAACATGATCACAGGTCGTAACATTTACAGAATGGACAGAGCTCTTTTGGACACGTACTGTGAAAGCCACACAGCTGAGATGTTCACTTCGGTAGGGGGCCTTCAACAGAGCGGCTGCCTTGTTAGTGCCAATCTTCCATGTCTGGCAGATTTGTCCGGCTGTCTGGGCTGGACCTTGACGTCTTGCAGATCTGTCCGGCTGTCTACGCTGGACCTCGACGTCTTGCAGATTTGTCCGGCTGTCTACGCTGGACCTCGACGTCTTGCAGATCCTTCCGGCTGTCTGGGCTGGACCTCGACGTCTTGCAGATCCTTCCGGCTGTCTGGGCTGGACCTCGACGTCTTGCAGATCTGTCCGGCTGTCTACGATGGACCTCGACGTCTTGCAGATCCTTCCGGCTGTCTTGGCTGGACCTCGACGTCTTGCAGATCTGTCCGGCTGTCTGCGCTGGACCTCGAAGTCTTGCAGAACCTTCCGGATGTCTACGCTTGACCTCGATGTCTTGCAGATCCTTCCGGCTGTCTACGCTTGACCTCGACGTCTTGCAGATCCTTCCGGCTGTCTGGGCTGGACCTCGACGTCTTGCAGATCCTTGCGGCTGTCTACGCTTGACCTCGACGTCTTGCAGATCCTTTCCGGCTGTCTGGGCCGGACCTCGACATCTCACAGATCTGTCCGGCTGTCCACTACTTCATTGTGACGCTTGATGGATGTGCAAACCCAAGGACCCTTTATTGGTCCTAAAAGCCATTCTCTGGTCATATAACACGTTTCTTATGCTTTAGAGGAGCACATATAGAGTTTGAAATCAGTTAACCCTAAACAACAGTTAAGGGTATATTATGCAGGAGACTGAGTGTGAATGTCTTGGAAGACATTCCTGTGGGTTGTGTCATATATAACTATCACTGGGGGTGGGATTGGCGCTGCTAAACAATCACGTAACCGCTCACTAATACTTTACCGTGCTAGATCAATCGACTGATTGAATGGGTGAACAATAGGCTGGTAACGGCCATTGAGCCAAAAAGTGACGAAGGCGTCTACACGACAGCAGGGCACATCACGATGGTGTGAAAAAAGAAAAAGAACAATGGACTTGCTGCTGAAGATGGCTGCTGGTTTTTCCAGATTATTCAGATGGAATGTCGGGAACTGCTCCGCCATGACTAGAGTATGACCTAACCCTTCCACGACCCCGAACCCCTCAAGCTTTGTGCGAGTCACCTGACCTCCAAAGGGCAAGGAGGCTGCCGGCGATGCAACGAGGAGACAGGTCTCTCTGGGGACATAACGAGGAGACAGGTCTCTCTGGGGACGCAACGAGGAGACAGGTCTCTCTGGGGACATAACGAGGACACAGGTCTCTCTGGGGACATAACGAGGAGACAGGTCTCTCTGGGGACGCAATGAGAAGAGAGGTCTCTCTGGGGACATAACGAGGATGACTGTGAAGCTGGCTGCGAAAACCTCTTCCTGCCAGATTTTCCGCATTTGGGGGATCGTGTGACGAACCGGAATGACAAAGGCTGCTATCCTCAGCGAGGTCGGGAGGACTAGGGCCGGGGGCTTAGGAGTTTTGGCAAGGCTGATGGGGAATGGTGGGGCTGGGGGGAGGCAGAGTCTGGTCTAACACGGGCCAGGAAGGAGCCCGGACGGCATGCACTGAAAAGCTCGCCCCAGCCGACGTCCTGTCTCCATGGAAACGCTTTAGATGACGTTGTCGAAGAGCTGCATGGACTGCATGATGTTTTCATCCTGAAGAGCAGGGGGGGGGTCAAATATGGACACGCAGGTCAGCTGGCAAACAGACCACACTTTGGGTACAAAACTGAAAAAGGTTAGAATGTTTAAGGCCTGCTGTCGATAGTAATGCGAGCTGAATTCTATCTGTATTCATTTTCCCCAGCAAGCCTCATGACAACATCTCATTGTGATTTAACCATTCCTGTGGTGGCATTGAGAGCCTAGCACAGGATTGCTGCTAAAATGCAGGTGCTCCGGCGCACCCTGCTGGAGAATCTCTGCAAGGGTGGCAGCACATGACATCACACAATGAAGCGCATACTGCAGTTCAGGCAGGAAAATGGCCACCTAATTACTCCCCTGTTTAGATCAGAGGACCCTGTCTATGGGGGGAGCATAGTTACAGGATACAGGGTAACCTATTCCTGTGGACCCTTCAGGCTTTCTGGGAATAATCTCCGACTGCACTCCAGGTATCATGCAGTAATGTTGAGCTGACATCGTTTCCGGCCCATCAAATTCAAGTCACTTACATCCATTTAAATTCTTTTATGATCTCCTCTGTTTCACTCACGGGAATCTGCATTTCACATCTATCAGGTCAGGATAAGATGAGCGCAATGTAAACAGCAGCTCTGCTGACCTTTTGGCACGACTCGATGAACTCGTCGATGGTCACCACTCCGTCATTGTTACGGTCCATTTTCTGGCAGAACAGAAGCATATCAAGGGATCACCAAATTTTGCAGAAAGCACAAAGAATTTCCCTGCGATGCATTGGCATACCATCCAGGCTGCACCTATTCTGCCTGGGATGCCCCCCCCCCACCCCCGCCAAAGCCTGTTAAGGGACAACGATGTCACCTGGAAGAAGTTTTCCACGTGCTCCTTGGGGGCATTGTCCTGCATGCATGGATAAGTCCACTTGCCCATCATGTCATAGATGGACTTCATGATGTCCAGCATCTCCTGGGAGACAGATAAGATACGTTTTGCCTGCTGAAGATCCTGAGTGTTTGAAGGTCAAAGAGACAACAAACCACCACATCTAGGCTCCTTATTTCCATCACTTGTCCTGTTTTGGAATTATGTTCAAGAAACCACCAAAACTGTCATATTTCAGACACAAAAAAATGCGTGGTAGATGTTCCAAATCTCTGAAGAGTTCTGGGTGGGAGGATAAGTGATAAAATACTGAGTAAATTCCAACAGGCCCATGACCCACAACAACAGCAGCGGGATGGTACTGTACTTCCCCTCACCTCTTTGGTAATACAACCATCCTTGTTGAGGTCGTATAGGTTGAAGGCCCAGTTCAGCCGGTCATTAATGGAGCCCCTGAGGATGATGGACAGGCCCATGACAAAGTCCTGTGACAGAAATTTGGTTGAGGGCAGGTTTCGTTTTTCTTTTTTTAAAACATCGCACAGACTGGAAATGAAGTTCTATCACGTTGTGTTTTCTGTCTGACGGTGTAACTTCAGGTGGGTTGCCCTAACACTGAAGATAAAGTCCCAACAACAAGCTAAGTGCATCGGACCTTTGTTCTTGCTTCAGCGTATTTAAATTTAGCATATTAAGAATTCATCCAAATATGTTAAACCTTTCAACAGGCAAACCGCATGTCTCAAGACTCGGCAGAAAGAAAGAGGAACTCGAGCTCACCTCAAAACTGACAGAGCCATTCTTGTTAGTGTCAAATGCTTCAAAAAGGAAGTGTGCATATGTGCTGGAATCTGGGAAAGAAATGGCACATCTGCATAAAATATGTTACATTTGGACGAATCACCGATTGATGATACACACGGAATAATCAAACCTCTCAGAGTATTTAAGGTGCTATTGTCCAAAGCACCACTGTCTAATACCATGAGGAACAGCCTGTACCTCTGGTAGCAACTGACATTTTATGTGGAAGAGCTGAAATTGCTGAAATTGTTTGGAAGAGCTGGAATTGAGAGCAGTGTTTACAAGTTACTATCCCTGCTGAAAAGATTCTCACAAGAAATATACTAAACTGTTTTCATAAATATTTTACTAAGCAAAAAAGCAGACTGTGATACTTTAAGCTACCTTCAAGAAACACATATTGTAAAGCAGCAAAATTATGTTAAAATACGTTGAATTCAATTGATTTTTGGTAGCTCTTTGCAGATGTGCTTAGTTCAGGTCCAGAGAGTAAAAGTCCAGACCAGGATTTTGTTTCAACCATCTAGTTGAGTTCTCTGTGACTGTGATTCTTTATGCTGAACTGGTGAGTTGAAACAAAATCTTGGTCTGGACTTTTACTCTTTGGACCTCAATCACTCACCTCTGGCTCCACCCACCTCTGGACTGTGTTTAACAGACACTCACCTCCCTGGGGGAAAAACTGCGAGTAGATGAGCTTGAATGCCTCCTCATTGACGATTCCACTGGGGCACTCCTGTGATGGGCCAGGAAACACGGTGTTAATGGTGGACAGAGTTTTAACCCCCCCACACCCGACCAATGCCCATCAAAATGCCCACCAAATGACAAAAGTCTTATTATTTGGTTTACATTAGTGCCCCTCTCCCCTTAGTTCCATTAGTGGGAGGGGATCCCTGGATCACGTCAGTGTTCACTTGGGACAGGGTCATAAAGGGAGGAAAAGGACGCCAGGGCAGTGCAGGGCACGAGACAGGGGTGCCCCCAGGATAGGGTGCCAGGGCAGTGCAGGGCACGAAACAGGGGTGCCCCGAGGATAGGATGCCAGGGCAGTGCAGGGCACGAAACAGGGGTGCTCCCAGGATAGGATGCCAGGGCAGTGCAGGGCACGAGACAGGGGTGCCCCCAGGATAGGATGCCAGGGCAGTGCAGGGCACGAGACAGGGGTGCCCCCAGGATAGGGTGCCAGGGCAGTGCAGGGCACGAAACAGGGGTGCCCCCAGGATAGGATGCCAGGGCAGTGCAGGGCACGAGACAGGGGTGCCCCCAGGATAGGACGCCCATTAGCCTAGCTGCGTGTTTTAGGATTGTGGGAGGAATCTGGCATTTCTGTGAGATACGCGGAGAACATGCACAGACCAGGGGAGGGATTCGAACCCACATCCCTGCAGGTGTGAGCCAACGCTATCCACAATACCAACACTGCTCTCACTCCCCTTCAGTGCCAAATATCTTATGTAACAACAGGACACCAGTTCCAGGACCAATAAGTGGAGTTGAGTGGGGAGGGGGTGTTTGCCCCACCCCCACACAGAAAACCCTAAAAAGGAAGCTACTACTTTTAAACCTGTTCCTTGCATCTTATCTCAGTTTGTCCCTAACCTCAAACTAACATTAAAGTGTGGGCTGTAGGGCCCAAACATGCCATATCTGAATATATCATCTCCCTCGGCAGCATGCAATGTACAAACAGGTTTTTTGTCACCTATCGGTTGCCATATGGTACTGAAAATATGCCACCTTGAAGACCAACGTCATCCGAGAAAATTAAGATCCCCACACGCCAGGATTCTATCTTTCCAGCTTGTGCACTCAGGCAATGGCAGACAGAACACAGACTAATCTGTATAATCGATTACTTTTTATGAGCGTGGTGGTTATTGGGGTGGTGTGGATCACGGAGACACATTAGCCTTTCTGGCCTATCATGGCATCAGCTTTACATCAGAAACTAGGGTGAAATGCCAGACTCAAAAATGCAGGCTGCAGCTTCTTGCAAACAAGCAGTTCGAAAGCATTTTCGTGTGAGAAAGTGGGAGCACTATGTGCCAGGTCATGTGACCATCATCACATCATGTGACCAACCTGTTCCAGTATACTTTTCCAGTGTCCCTGCGTGAGAGTCTATGAGGTCACATTGCTGTTGTTGTGACAGCAATCCTAGCAGCAACACGTTTTTGCCCATCTGCACTTTCAATGAGGAATTCCCAGATTTGTATCTCCCGGTTTCATTTAATGAGCCAGCTTGCCTTTTCCACAGTGACTTTCCGAAAAAAAGAGACCATTTGTAAGTTCATTCAAGAGAGTAGAAGACTGAAGGAGACAGGAAGGAGGACGGACGTCGTAGGAGGTGGTGACTGTGTAGCGATTAGATATTCTAAGAGATCTATTACGGCATTCTCAGGTACGGAAACACTGGTGGTAGTGAAACAAAACAGAGAAGCAGCAGGTGATGCATTTCAGAAAGATGCTAGGAGACAGGAGAACTGTGGCTTACAGGTAATACCGGTATTCAAATACTGTAGGAAACAAAGATTGGTGAAGGCAGGAGTCTGGAAGGATGGATATTGTAAGCGACAGACAGTGTCGGACGCAGATACTGCAGAAGCTGCAGGAACGACTCACGTTTTTGAAGCCCCGGTAGAGAATCTGCAGCTCCTTCTTGGTGAACTTGGTCTGTTCCAGCAGCTTGTCGAGGCCCTCGGGCCGGTAACACACCGTGGAGAGCTCAAAGTCGTCCTCCACACTGTCTGTGGGCGGGAGAGACACGCGATGGTTGTTTAATGACCAAGGCCTGCGTCTCCAGACGGCGCCGATGGAGGAGAAGCTCAGATACACCACAGCTTATCTAACTGTACCCTGAACATGGGAATGACAGAGGGCAAAGGTCAAGGAGAAACCAATGTAACATGGCCCCATTTCTACATTATTCTTCATCCCCCAAGAACTCCCACCCCCTATAAATCATATCATATGGTTATATAAGACGACAACAAGAAATTTGTGCCATGAGAATTAACATTATGCTTCATGAAATTTGACGATGATGAAGGAACAACCAAGAGAATGACTCGGATATGCAGTGATACCAACAAACAGAACGTTAAGGAGAAGCAGACTGAGATACTGTCAGCCAAAAATAACATCTATGCAACGTTAGGAGTTTTTAAAAAAAAAGACGACAGGACATCTTTTCAGAAAATGGGTCAGTTTTCCATTCTGCTCGACTGAAAAACATTAAATGAAAGCAACTCCAAAACAATTACAGCTCAACAGACACTCAGCATTGTTTCTGGGTTCTGCAGTCGGCCTTGATTATGGTGACATGTTTTAGGGTATAGAAATATACCCTCACCTCAGAATACAGCTGCATTTCAGGAATCCCACACTCCTCGTTTACATGCATGTGCAGCCCTAACATGCCTGCTTTACCAAACCCCTAAGTCCAACAGAACCCTGAATTTACAGAACATAAGCCTGTCAGCAATAAAGTCCCCAAAGATCAATGTGCGAGTCAGAAGTGTGGTGACACTTCTGAGGGAAGCTTCCGGCTGCCTACCTAGGACTGGCCTCCGGTTAGGTGCAGATGTTTCCCCACTGAGGTAAGCAGAACTCATCCACTCAGTCCAAGCATGCTTCGACACACATGGTGTGGAAAGTCGTGAGATGAGCATTGCCACTGGGAGTAAAAATAATCCTAATCTACTACCTAATCACAACACCTAAACCTATTTCCTCAGTTCCCCGGATATGAGGCCCCAGTGACAATCAGACACCAGTGCTGTCTTATCTGTTCCCATTACTGGGAAAAATTGGGGGGAGAACGGGACTGAGACCGAGGTTTTTGGGTTTTCACTTTGCATTGGGTGTGGCCATACCATGTATGGGCGGGGCAGGGGGCGGAGTCAGGGAAATGGGAGGAGACAGACATATAAGGCAAAGAGGCACTTGCATTGACTGACTGTGGGGGTGGAGCTCGGCCCACAGCACGGCAGCAGTTTGAGGAATCTCTGCTTTATGGTTTTTTTGTTTTGGCTGGAGGAAGGGTTACCTGCAAGTCAGCAACCACAGCGAGAGAGAGGTTAGATGGGGCAAGGCGGGGGCCTGGGGTGCCCCAGGAGTGTTCAGGCACACAGGGGCATACAGACGTGGGACATGCATGCACGCACACACACACGCCAAGCTGCGATGGTGCACCGTGCATATCATGCAGCATTCGTATCGCATGCTTAAGCGTAATCCAGCTTCCTGTCCAGCGGCCGCACGCCATAGGGACGCATAGCAATAACAACTAACTAACGATCAGAATGTTTCCTGCTTAAGTCTCAGTGGTAACAATGCAATTATCGGCCTATATAAGTGTTTAAGCGTACCTGCAAAACAATTATATAATAATAATAATAATAATAATAGGCTCATTACGATGATTTCAAGACTGACTTGGATTTAAAGTGGGAATGGAGGACATTCCCAGGAAAATCGAGAAAAATTACGGAACTTTCCAGAATTGGCACTGTGCAATCTGTTTTTACAAGGTGTATGAGATCCTGTTGGGGCAACAGATTGCACAATGGAACCCTCGCCTGGTCCACTAAGTGGCCACTCTGACCATGGCTATCTGGCCTGTTTGGTGCCTCTAGTGCTGTGCTCCAAACGGCGCCCCCCCTGTGGAGGGCAGATGAACTGCAGGAAAAAAAAGCTGGCAGGGTGTCTGTGATCTGCTGGGGGCCACGCCATCTCACATACACACACATACACACACACACACAGACTCTGTAACTCACACATGTAAGGACGCAACCAAAGCACGTCAACGCACCAGCTCATGCAAGAGCGTTCTGTCACAAGGGCTGACATTTGCTGACCTGGCTTTGAACAAAACCTTCTGCAAACCATCACCCTTCGACGGTGAATATGTAAGCAGCGGCTACAAAAACGCAGCGTCCGTCTCCCACCAAAACGGGTGCCATTGTTGCAACAGATCCTATCAAACCGTTACGCTCACAGTATCAATGTTTTTTGTGCTAGCTTAACTAGATGTGCACAGATGCTGCAGACCATTGATAAATCAATGCTGATTATGATGATACCTAAAGTCACCTACAGGTGACAATCTTCTGTTTACTGTTTTACTGTTTAATGTTTTATTGTCATATATATGTTCATGTTTTGTATGGCTGCTACCTTGGCCAGGTCTCTCTTGTAAAATAGATTTTATATCTCAATGGGACTTCCTGGTAAAATAAAGGTAAATAAATTAAATAAATAAATCACCAGCTTTCAGTGACGTTTCCCTAAAAGTACCCGAAGAACCAAGTGCGTAAACACTGTGTGTCACCTGACAGCCACACAATTCCATCCCCGAAACGTTCCCTGGCTGCCGTGGAAACCGCGGCACGGCAGCGCTGGTAGCTGTTTCTATGGCAGCTGGATCTGGTTCTCGCCCATAATACATGCAGGTGCCCGGGCAACGTTCTAGAGCCTCTTAAGCAAGCGGCCACCGACCCAGACAGCCACCGACCCTGACAGCCACCGAGCCTGACAGCCACCGCTCGGGCTGGCACATGACCGGTGGGAGAGACCGCCGGCGTGTTTGATTCACGGTCGCCGTGACGATGGCGAACCGTCTGAGATGGACTCACACTGGGTACCAGTCTGCCGCTCTGTCAGAACACGGGTCTGCTGCAGCAATGACGCCCTTTGCCTTTTTACTGTGTTTAATAAGCTACAGAAATGAAAGATTGAAACACTAAAACCAAAGTGCTGAACTATGTACAGTTTAAAAGTGTGATAATAAAACCACATTTAAAAAAAAAAAAAAAACTGTCAGAGGAGTAGAGGAGGAACGACATGGTCTGGCTCTGAGAGGAGCAGATAACAGAAACATCACAGACACATAAGGAGAAGAGCAGGATAAACAATTCCCCTCAGTACTGACCCCGGATCAGTTTAATCACTTTGGGTATAATGTCCAGATTTAGGATTAGAAGTGGATAAGCTGATCACAGGCACCGCTGGGGGGTCCAAGCTTCTGAGGGAATTTTGTGCAATTTGCTCCTGCCAACACTGATCCAGGATCAGCTCCTCTGAGCCTAATCCAGGCGCACGATTCGCTACGTCACCAAACCCTCGCAAATTGGCTTGGTGCTCCAGTGAGGGACTGTCCCCAGCAGAGAGACAGGCGTCAGGAATGTGACAAATGCCCTCCCCTTTTCCCGCCTCTGACTGAAGCCACACGCCCGGCAAACGGCGGCTGCCATTCTGCACGACGCGCGGGTCACAATCCACATCTCGTATTATGCCGTAATCCACTGAGAAACATGGGCAGCTCAAGGCCCGGTGAACGCGGGCACGGACCCGAGACTCAATGGCTGCCGGTTCGAGTCTGAGGAGAGGCTCATTTCATGTCCTTGAATAAAGTCCTCACACCAGAATTACCCCATTAAAAGATCCGGCCGTATAAATGGATGTAACAGTCAGTCTGGCTGAATAAAAGCACCAGCAAAGCAATAAAATAATAACGATGATAACAGGAAACCTTCCTAATATGATAAACGGCAATGGGACGGATCCGAAGCGCAGCGCTCCCTCTGTCCGCTGTGGTCTGTGACTCCGCAATTAAACTCTGTTCTCTCTTCCTGTTTATATATGCTTTTTCACAGTAATGAGTCAGAAGAGTTCACATATTTACTGGACAATGTAAAACAAAACACAGTATATGTGCATTGGCTCTATGCTGGCATTCTTCCATTGCATGATACGTGGAGGTACATAACCTTTTGTAAAAGCAGCTCACCCACTACATACATTCTGCATCTCCCACTCCCTGGGCTGAATGCCCACTTTTGCTCATTTCTGTTTTACTTGTTCTAACTCCCCCCCCTCCCCCCTCCCCACCCATACCCAGCACCTCTGTCAATCTCGTTACGCCCTATATTAAGGCATTTATGTCACCTGTCAGCCTTGACACCCACCCTGAATTCCAGTGCCATCACAATAGGAGACCAAACCACTGGGGTGCAAAGGAACATCAGAATGACACAGATGGCAGAGTGGTCAGGTAGGCAGCTCCAGGGTTACGGGTTTGAATCCCTGTTTGCATGTATTCTCCTGGTTGGAGTAGGGTCAAGTTGCATGATCCCATGACTGACGTTCCACCCAGACAGAATTCTGCCCTGTGCTTCTTGGGATAGACTGAGGGGAAAATAAACCAACCATCATGTATGGGTACCACATAAACAAACATCAGCTGGCACTGCGTAAACTGGGACCAGTTGCTCTGAATGGGAAACAGACTGGAATTGTTCAAAAACATAACCACATGGGAGCTCAGCAGGTTGTGCCTGCGACCGGAAGGTTGCCGGTTCAAATCCCATGACTGGCAGAATGTTCCCATCACCACTGGGCCCTTGAGCGAGGCTCCTGACCCCCAAATGCTCCAGGGAGGCTGGATAAATGGCCGACCCTGGGCTCAGACCCCAAGCGTTGCTCTCAGCTGTGTGCGTGTGTGTATGAGTGTATCTCCCAAAAGAGGGAAGAATGCCACTCTATTTGTATAAATGGCAAATAAAGAATCGTCATTTTGCACTTATCCACACAGCCTAGTCCATCTTCCTGTCCTCCTGTCTGGCGCGATGCTAATGTTGTTGTTACTAACGCCGCATAATCGCCGTGGCCGCAGAGACCCTGATGGGAAGCCCTCACCGAATCGCGTATCTCCAGCCCTCACGCCTCTCGCCGTGACACGCCACCCCTCCCACGCTGCCTTTCCATCTGACATACGCCAAACGTCGTATCGTAACTTTGCACCGACACCTTTGGGGACGTCTGCTGGGTGCTGCTGCTACAGCTCCTGTTTGCCTGTACGCTCGCTCATATAAAGGAGGGAGCGCAAACAGGGTGAAGCAGCAACAGGGGTATCGACACAACAAGCAAACAAACAAACAAGCAAACACACCTTTCAAGAATGACGGAGAAAAGAAAAAGCCCAGAATCTCAACATTCCATCCACCCAGAATCTCAAGATTTCATAAGAGCCTGCAGTTCATATTTCCCAAACCCCATCAATGACAGCAGATCCGATAGCTCTGGTCACTGTTAACAAACCCAGGTCACCTTCCTCTCCTTTAAATCCAGAATGATGATTAACAGGTTAATCCTGTCACCTGCCATTTTCACCATAGTGCTAAGGCAAGTTCTGACTGGTTAATTGAATGATATATTTAAGCAGTCAAATTCATATAATGATAGATACATGCTTTCTGCTGCCTAGTGCCCCAGAGGTAACAGGTGTCCAGGAAAAAGTGAAGGACATTTACATGATTACTTCCTTCCACTCAATTTCATCATCTGCCTTCAGTTAAGAGTTAATTGATCTAAAAAAAAAAAAAAAAGCTGCAAAGAGTCAACAAAGCCTCCCATTGGCCAGGCACTTCCTTGCTGTGGCTGTTCATGAATTCTCCCCAGGTCAGTCCTCAGAATGTCAAACGCAAAACAAAGTTCCTCAGGAGTCACTAATGGTCTAACGGGCACAATTACTGAAATTACCCCATAGCAATGAACCACAAGGATTCGGTCAATCTGATTTTAATTGCTTTGCCTGTTGCATGCAATTCTATGCAACGTTTCTCACTGGTGAAACTGACCGGTGCCTGGATGGCAGGAACTTAACTTGGCTAAGATGACCTTTTTGACCTTGTATAAGTGGATATGGGAAACAGATGTACTAACATTGACCGCTGTGTGTAACATTGTAGGTGTCTACAGCCCAGACTGATATAGCACCTACCAAGCAGACTGCTGCTCATGAGTACAGAATCAGTGATCTGCTCCGGTGCCCCGAGGCAGAGCAGCCTAAGGCAGACAGGCTTCAGGTTCTGGGGCCACACAGAAAGACTGGAGTTCTTAACAGGCTTCCATACTTTTACTGAACCATACAATCAGGTCAGAACAAAAGATTCAAATGCAAAACAGGACCATGACCTTTCTTACTCTGTGTGTTGCCACTTAGAGACAGAACAATAAGTCACGCCGTCGTATGGAAACGCGGTC